TCTTACTAGACCTAAATCTTGAGTACAAAAGGAAAACATTAGTAAATAGTGTGATTTTCGCAATATGTCATATGAACATTATAGAATCATACATTTTAGGATTGGATATAATTGCATATCTTTTCATTGATCACAGAAAATATTGGCTATAATTAAATATCAGCAAGTTGCTCTACGTTAAAAACTCATTGGGTTGTCCTGTTCATTAATTTCTCCCTTTGTCTCTTGGCTCATGAGTCCATTCACCTACCCATCCAACAAGTTAAGCATTTTTCAGCAGTTATTTGTCACACTTTCTGTTGCACTCATTACATGACCTATAAAAACGTCAACTTTTAACTGACGCTTAGCTATTTCTAATATACACTACAACACTTACTGCAACTGTTGAATAGGATCTTTAAAAAATAAATTTGTTACAAAGGAGTTTCACTGTGTAGTAGGTTAAGTAGAAGTTTTTGTGGAATTCATATTATTGTATATCTTATTCCTGGGGATTTGACAATAAAAGATATTAAAAGCACTGGGCCTTAGAATGTTGGGGAAATGCAACTATGTGTTTGTTCTTCATGTTGCAGGACGATTGAAGCATCATATGACATAAGCACCCATAAAGTCTTGCTGCATCAAGGAGGCTTACTGTCCTCTAAGATGAGAGAGAGATAAGTGTGCATTGGGGCAACAGAGCTCTTATCATCTAAAATGATAGTTCCTGTGGAACTGACCAGAAAAGGGAAGGGATTAAGTTGATCCGAAAGTCATTTACCAAGTTACATTGATGGAAGTTCAACTTGGGGTACAATCCATCCTCTATAGTGGGGATTTGGGGACATTTCTCTGGATTTAACAAACTGGCTTTTCAAAGCAACCTTGTTCTTTTAGATTATGTAGTGATATCTCGAGATTTCTACGTACTCCAAACTTTCCTTGGAAATTGAGTTTCTCCTGGCTGCTGTGCAAGCTGCTTGTCTGAAAGTTTGCAGAGTCATAGTGTATTTTGTCCAGAACAGAGAAAATGGAGGGGCATTTTAGAGAATGGAACTTGAGAACCTGCTGACTGTAACATTAAATGTCTATGGGCTCAGGATCCTTCTCCATTAAATTAGGAATTGAAAAGCGGTGTCCCAGAGGTAGAATTCCATCCCTTAATGTTTTGCTGTTGTTGTTGTTGTTGTTTTAGCCAGACTCAGGTTTTATTTTTATAGATAATAATAGCTTAACACAAAGGTATTAGTTTGGTTTGGCAAGATAGGTTAGCACAAGTCTAACCTGACTCAGTGCCTGAGATCCAGGCTGAAGTGCAATGTATGATATCACCTGGTCTTGATTATTTCACCTCATCTCTCACCTCCTCTCCTGTCCTTATTTTCCACACACACTCAGAGCTCCAGCTGTGCTCATTCTTTGTTTCATGTATCCAAGTATGTTCTTCCTTTCAACTCTTTGCATAGATTGATATTTCCGTCTCCAAAGCTCTTTGCCATATCCTTCATAACCTCATTGTCTTCTACACGCTGCCTAGTTGTCCCCATCTCCACAGCATTATGTGACGGTGTTATTTTAAACCAAATCTCAACTTCAGATCTACCTTTCTCAGTTTTTTGTTTGATTTGTTTTCTATCTTTCGTCTAAACATTCTATAAACCTGCTTTATCAACATCATTCTACACTTGACATATATCCCACAACACAAATTTTGCAATGTTCTCGCCACTACTTTAAAGGCAGACAGCTCGGGGAAAGAATGCGAATATTATTTCATAATGGTGTTAAGAACAGGAATAACTTGATTCAAATTCTAGCTTGACATTTTAGGATTTGATTTAAGTGTCAACCCTGAGCCCCGATTTTCCAACTCAGTAAAATCAAGATCAATTATCACATAGCATCAAGTGTTATTTTTGAGTTATCTACAATACTTATTCTTAGACATGATATATAAAAATAAATATAATTTTTATTTTTAAATAAAACACTGTTGTTAGCAATATTGGAAGAATCCTTTGGGATATACCCATGCTGTCAGAATTTCCCGTATACATTTGCAAGCTGCTGACCTATTCTAAGTTTATCCTACTTAAGTTATTCAATGGTCCTCTGAAGCTATGAATAGATGATGACCTCAGATCCTGGTATTCTATTGGAGCTCTAGAAATGGAAAGCAAGGACATCACACATTTTCTTTCAAGTTTAAATTAGGCATTTGAAACTAGTAGTATATCAAGGCAACAAAAGAATTGGAAACAAACCTTTCTGCTGGTGTGATTATACTTTAAAATGGTCTGTGTTCCAATAATTGTCAGCAGGCAGAGACTGAAAGTCAAGTAGAGGACACAAACCTTGAAAAGACCACCAGGGATCCTCACAAGTTTGGAAAGTTAATAATCATAAGGTTTAAAATGTGCCTGAATGAATTCACACATTGCCTTGAAAACCGTTGCAGACAATGCAAGCGTTCCATATTGGAAAAAGAGGGGAGAAGCGTTTATTTAAGGCCGGAATATTTATGTTGGTTTTTGCAGTAGCAGTTGTTATTGTTGCTGCTTTTATACTTCTTATTTTCAGATATAGAATAACCTCAAAATATTTACGAGAAAATGATGTGAGAGAAATGCATTAGTTGAGAAATTCTTACAAATTTATCCTGTTTCTTTTTGACAGAAGTTTCCAGAACATGTGAAAGAAATTCTTTTCCTAATTCTTTACCAATGTTGCTCAAAGCTTTTCTGAACTCTAGTAAATCAGACACCCAGAGTAAAACCGTGATGTCTACTGTTTGATATATTAAATAAGTCTTTCTCAGAGTCCAAAGGACCAGCCCATCTTCAGCCTGAGAACTTTTATCAGTGTGAGAATATTTGTAAAATACTTGTATTACTTTAAAAGACCCTAGGCACTAGGAATCAACTTTTTATGTTGAATACTTTTTATGTTGGATCGTGGTCCATTTAAATTCACTTGTCAGTTCATTCACTGGATCCACACTAAATACTCAGCTTAGTGCCTAAGGGAACAGAGATTAGAAGGAGGAAGAGGAAGTAAATACTGTAAATACAAAAAGTCCAGAACAATTAAGCAATAGTCAAGAATATAGTTCAGAAGCTGGGGAAATTTGGAATGAAATTTTAGGTCAAATTAATTGTCATCCGGAACAACAGTAATATATTGGAGTACTTTAAACGTGGAATTAAGTAGATATATTAAAACTTTAAGGATTTCCATATTTAATGCCTCATGTAACATTTAAATGACAATGATAAACAACTATGGGAAAGTTGAACAAAAGCAAACAGGAAGTGAGTGTAACCTCAAACAATCAATTTCAGTTTCAAGAACTAGAGCCTCGGGATGCATCTGTGGGAGGGGAGGAGTTTAGATACGCCTCGGAGGGAAAGTGGTTAATTCAAAATATCGTGGGGATTTTTGCTAAAGTAGTGATTCTCAACCTGAGGGTCCTGGTCCCTCTAGGTGTCAAATAACCCTTTTCCAGGGGTCACATATTAGATATACTGCTGCTCAGATTTTCACATTACAATTTGAAACAATGTCGAAATTACAGTTATGAAGTAGTAACAAAATTAATTTTATGGTTGGGGGTCACCACAATATGAGGTGGCATTAGCAAGGTTGAAAAGCACTGTTCTAATGGCTAGTTCATCTTGTCTTCTTGTTTCAGCATCTTCTAATCAAGAACTCCTCCTAGGACTGAAATTATGAGATCAGGAAAGTAAACACACAAAGGAGGGAAAAGGTGGGGTTGGTACAGTTTAATCTCCTGTACAGAAATTAATTTAGAGTATAGCAAAAAGTCAGATCATAGAGTCCCTTAATAGAAACCACCTGTATTCACAAATTCTCTGTTTTGGCCTTGTCTGTGCCATCACAAACCACCTGTTTTGTCATCCCATTCATTTACCATAGGTATAGGAAAAGGTAATATAAGAAATCAATCTTTCAAAAGAAAAAAAAAAGAGAAAGCAATCTTTCTGTTGTAACATACTGAAAGACCTAAAAGTCACATCAAAACAAATATCTAAAGAAATTGTATCAAAAATAATCACCAAATTATGAATGAAATGGAAGTACCAGATAGTTATAATAGTTTACACCTGTAGAGCCATCTCTCTGGGAAACTGAGGCAAGAGGATCTTAAATTCAAGTCCATCTTACTTTGATGGAGTTCTCATGGGGTGCCTGACTTCAACCGAAAAGAAAGAAAAGAAAGGAAGGCAAGGGAGGGGGAGGAGACAAGTGGGGAGAAAAGAAAAGATTCATAAAGCCAAAAAATGCCTGGAAACAATACAGAATAAACTATTTAAATGAAACGCATTAGGACCCAAAAGTGTTCATGGAAAGCGCAAAGACCTATCACCTCCAATGGCACTAGAAAGATTATGATGGACGGCTGCAATCAAGGCCAAGAGCAATTAGTGAGTAGTTGGATCTGGATGATCCAGCAATTCGGAATAAGGTGTTTGGTATCTCTGATGACTATTATCCCATATCTCAGGGTGATTTTTTACAGTATGGATCACAAGCACCAGATAACTATGAGAAGGCCAGATGGAGACTCCAAAAATACCCCACAGTAAATGTTTACTTTATGTTACAAGGATTTTTTTTTAGCAAATATTACTTGTGTTGCAAAACCTATTTGATATTGGTCAAGTTACCATACTTTCTTCCATTTGCTTTAATTATATAAAATGAATTGATGTTTGATTTAATGACTTCAAAGACTGTATTTGGGTGTGATTGTGCTATGGAGCTAGTTAGATACTGACAGGCTAGTAAGTCATTGGAAATGGACCCCTTCCTTCTCAATAAACAGTTTGTAAAATCAGTCACTGAAACTCTAGGGTTATGATTAGTGGCCAAAAGCATAAGACCTACAATCCCTCTCTGCTCCTAACTGGAGAAATAACACTCGGAACTCCCAGAGATGTATGTGGTTATATACCCAAAGATATTCTAGTAAAGAACAAAGACTGACCACTGACCTTCTTTACCCAATGGGTCTGTCAATAACATGGAGAAGAAAACATGACTCAAGAAAAGTTGTCTATCCCCAAACCTAGGGAACAGTATAAAGTTTATCAGAACTTCAAGTCATCGCAATGGTCCCTTTGGTCACTGCTGACTCTTACCCCTTGAGAGTGTTCCATTTTACTCTGTAATAATTCCTACCTGCCCTCTAGACTCTGTTTTATGTACCTAGTCTGAATGCATGCAAGGGAAAGCATAATAACTAGGGAGCTAAGAAGAGTCTACAGTAGGGTCTTAGAGGCAATTTCACTTTTGATAAAGTGTTTATAGTACATTTTCTTTTATTCATCTTTCTTGTGGTCAGTATGTGCATGTAGGGTGTGTATGTGTGTGAGTGTGTTTGTGGTGTGTGTGTGTGTGTTTCATGGGTACACATGTGTGTGCTTTCATGAACATCTGTGTGAATGTGGATGTTGGATGCTGATATCGGGTGTTTTCCTTTATAACTCTATGTTATGTACTGAGACAAGTTCTCTGGCTTCACGCAAAGCTCAATAGTTCATCTAATCTAGATAATCAATGCATCCCCCAGGGTTCCATGCCAGCTTTTGGAGAACTGTAACTGGCTGGCTGGCATCTTTTCTCAGCTTTTATATGAATTCTGGAGATCCAGACCCTGTCCCTCACATTTACACAGCAAACATCTTATCCACTGAGCCGTATTTCCCTAACCCCCCAAAATTCCTTTCCCTCACTTTCTTAAATCTCCTTTTTTTCCCTTCTATCTGTTTCCCATTTTGATATATAATGTTTAAAGTTAGGCATACTTAACAATCAGTGCTATAAATGTTCTGTTTCTTAATTTTTCAGATACATATTTTTCACTTTATCAATATAAACAGATCTAAGACATCTTCCTATAAATCCAAGTGAAAGCAACAGAAGCATAGAAACATTTAAGTATATTAGTGATTGCTAATTCTGGATGGTAGGAACATAGTTGTTAACATATTTCCTTCTCAAAAGACTTTCTATTTAATTATAGATAATCAAATAAAAAACAACCTAGGTATTTTAGGTTTATAATGAGCTATTTACACAAACCAATTGCAGAATTTTTTAAAGACATTCAAGATAGATTCAGATTTAAGTTCTATTTGAGTGCTTACTGTCTGTGTGATCTAGAACAAACCAATTCAATGTTTACAAGTTTATTATTTTGAACTACATTGTCTAGATCATCATGTGGTGCTTATGACTTTAATATGAGAACAAATAATATACAAGAAGTTTAATCTGTGGCTGACCCTAAATATGAGGCAATCTACCTCTCATATACACTATTCTTTGTTCACAGTACATTTAATAGCACCCAAATTGTATCATAATGAATGTACCTGTCTCAGAAATGTGTATGAGGAAAGGGTTTCCCTTTGACAGGGTTGCCAGGTTTACCAAAAACAATAAAGAACAATAAAACAGTCAACTAACAAAACACTTCAGATAAACACCAGATATTTTGTGATAACTACTAAAGAAATATGGAAAAAATCACTGGCATTAGAATCAAAACACTTTAACTCAATACTGTGAAAAATCTCATATAAAACAGAAGCAATTTGTGGTGAAAGAGATTTGTTGTGACTTGCAATTTATAAAGACAGTTTGCCACAACAGGGATAACAGGGCAGCCAGGGCAGATGGAACAGTTTGGTTTCTGCTGATGGGACCCATTGCTCAACTTATGTCTTAATGGGTCGAAAATGAGAGAAAACTCTGGCAAAAAGTAGAGCCAAGATCTAATACTCAAGGCCTAACTCCCTCTGACCCACGTCCTGTGGCAGGGTCCCATCTTCTAAACATTCCATGACCTCCACAAATAAGGCCATAGGCTAAGGACTAGTATTGAAACACTTGAATCTGTGGGCATCATGTTACTTCCCAATAAGAACATGCTCCTCCAAAGTTTAAGAGGGGATGCTGACAACTCAGAGAAAAGGAAGAAGAGGTTAGGTAGAGAAAAGAATTGTTGGAGTGTCACCAAAAGTCTCTGTAAGCCAAATTGAGCTTGGTATTTTGCATTCATTCATCACTTATCATTCATGTCTTGACTTTATTTATTCCAAAAACATTTTTAGTGAATCTATGACAGTGTTCAGATTTTATGGTTAATAATATTGCTGTACAATTAAAATACTTTAATATTTTAATTAAAAACTCAACAGAATAAGAAAAATATTTTTAAAAGTTTAGATATAAAAGACATAAGTGATGTGCAACCTGTTTTGGCAAGTCTGTCTTTAATTCATCAGAAAAGAAAGAAAGAAAGAAAGAAAGAGAGAGAGAGAGAGAGAGAGAGAGAGAGAGAAAGAAAGAAAGAAAGAAAGAAAGAAAGAAAGAAAAAGAAAATGATTGCAAAAGTTTGAATAAGAACGGCCTCCATAAACTCATGTATTCCAATACTAAGTCTTCAGGGAGTGGCATTACTTGAGAAGGATTAGGCAGTGTGACCTTATTGGAGTAGGTGTTTCCTTGTTAGAAACGTATCACTGGGCTGGACTTTGAGTTTTCAAAAGTCCAAGCTAGACCCCATAGCTCTCTCTTCCAGCTGCTTTAGGATCCAGACATGGAAATCTCAGCTACTTCTCCAGCACCACGTCTTCTGCTTCCAATCATGATGATAATGGACTAAACCGCTTAACCTATAGGCCAGCACCAATTAAATGCTTTCTTTGGAACAGTAGTTGTGGTCATGGTGTTTCTTCACAGCAATTAGAACACTGACCACAATGATTATAGTTAAGGAATTATAAAACCTTACCACACAGTTCAATATTTAAATTCTTATCTTTTTACTAGTTGTGACCTTGAAAAATAGACATGTAAATCTCAAGTTTTGGTTTTTTGATTGGATTAAAATGTCCTTCACTTAAAGAGCATTTGGTGAAAAAAAACTGGGCTATATAAATGGTTATAACTTAATTTGGCTCACAGGGGAAAAAAGTTAGTTATTGCTACGGTTCTATGATATACCTTGGATTTGAACATCCAAGGATGATGGATTCTCATACATGTACAAGTTAATTAATTCTTATCAGTTTCTTCAAACTTTCTAAGTTCTACTTCAGCTTCTCATTTCTCAAAGGTATTATTATTTCCACATAATACTAGCTTCTTGTAAAGATTAAACTAACAACTTAATTACTGTTCTTAATTTATATGGAAAAATGTTTTGTATCCTACCTGACACATAACAGGTCCTCACAATATTATGTAATGAATTCGTTTCTCAACGTCTTATTTAGTGGCTAGTACAGGTCAGGCAAAAGGCCTTTATAGCCTGTATGATTGGACAGGATGTATTCAGACCTTATTTTAATTGCTTATTTCATAGTATTTACAAACAGAGACAGTTACTTTAAAGGAAAAATTTCTGACTTTGAAAGGGAGACTGGGACATGACCTCCCTGAGGAATCTATATTCCCATTTTTCTCTTTGCATCAATTTTCTCATCTAGAAATGAATAAGTTCTAATATAAAGGACATTTTCAAATGTCACTGGCATCCAGGGAATAGAACTCAAGTTTCTTGATTCCAAGACTTTAGCTCTTTCAAGACTATTTAAATGGTTCTGTGGCTTCACTGTCTTTCTGTAGAAGGAGGAAGGTGAGGAAAATCAGATGATCTCTACAGCAACTTAGAATCCATGGATCTTTGGACTTATTGCTGTTACAAAGCACAGTTTGTAAGACCCCCCCCCCCCAGAGAGGAATCTCTAATTCCATCCCAGTGCATCTTTGGTCCTCACCACATGTGCCACCATATGGGATGCACTTAGAACTTCATTAGAAGAAGAAGAATTAGTCTCCCATCGTACAGAAAAGAGAAGAGGCCCAGAGGATAAATGCTTTAGGAACTGAAATCAAAGTCTCTTAAAATAAATTTTCCTAAAACAAATTGAGAGGAAATAAACTGGAGCTCATTTGAAGAAAATCAAATGAAACGAACCATTAATTCACCTGTAAAACTGCACGCACATGTGTCCTGGGGAAAGAGAGTGCATTTAAGCTCATTTGGGGTGTGAGGGGATACAGTCACACATATTAACAGAAGCACCCAGTGAGGATTTCTTGCTTATTACAAGAAGGAAAATAATTGCAGACGTGAAGATGTTAGACCGCTGGAAATAATGATTCGCCAAGAAGGTTTCTTGACTCCAGAGACTCTAATTTCGCCAACACGTGCATAAAACTGTTAGAGAATCAGCATATTTGGCTCAACTTCTAAAGAACTCAAAAATGGTAAAAATGAATCAGCCTGCAGAAAGAGACATAGGGAAAAGAAAAGAGAGAGCTGGCAAGCTCATCGCTGAACTCAGCAAACTTCTTTGGTTGGGGTTTGAATACAGATGCAGCCTAGAACGATTCACCAAGGCTCTGACCTAGTCCCTTGTGACAGTATCTAGCTTATTTGTTTCTTTTTCTCTGCCTCATGCAAATGATGACATGTTATACTCAGAAACCACTCATTAATAAATGTCCTAAATTCACTCATTAATCTGTAGATTCTCATCACACTTAGAAGAGAAAATCTTAATCCAAGCCCAAACCTAAATCATCCTCTTCTGGCACACTCTGTCCCCTCCAACCCACTGCTGGAGACTTTATATAACTTTGATAGTAAGTTTCACTTCATATTTTTTTGTTGTTGTTTTTGCTTTTTCCGTAACACAGCTTTACTCGGCTTCCTTATAACTATCACCTGTGATGTACCTACCCCATTCTCTTGCTTGTTCCATACTTTGTTTCTTTCCTCATCATGGTATCACTGATGGGAATCATATCAGTAATTTTCTGTGTCTCATTAGAATGTGACACCGCAAGAGTGCTACCTACAATTTCTTGTCCTGAGATGTTAGAGACAGACTAATAATTTGATCAATATTTTGGATAGTTACTCAATTATTTTGACAAATACTTATGGGAAGCTTTAGTATGTGTTGTGCAGGTTCTAAAATGCACAATATGGCTAAGAAACTGACCTCTGTGGGTATTCTTTATAGAGAGAGTATAAGCAAATTGT